GGATGCTGATTTTTCGAACAAAATCATCTTCAGCGAGCGGCTCATTTTCATCTTGATGGTTTGGTTAATCGACAAAATTGTCGTATTTGGGGTTCAGAAAATCCACGAGTGATTGTTGAGAAACAAATGCATCCACAATGTATCACTGTTTGGTGAGGATTTTGGGCTGGAGGCATCATCGGACCATTCTTCTTCGAAAATGCGGCTGATGAAGCAATAACAGTTAATGGTACTCGCTATCGCGACATGATAATCCAGTTTTTGGTGCCTAAATTGCAAGATATGAATATGGACGACATGTGGTTTCAACAAGACGGTGCCACATGCCATACAGCCCGAGAAACAATTCAATTACTGCATGAGTTATTTCCTAGTCGTGTAATTTCCCGTTTTCGTGATCAAATTTGGCCGCCCAGATCATGCGATTTAACGCCGTTGGACTTTTTTCTTTGGAGTTTTTTGAAGTCTAAAGTTTATGCCAACAAGCCCACGACCACCCACGCCTTGAAGGGGGAAATTGAGCGCTGTATCAACAAAATTCAGCCACATTTATGCAAAACAGTTATGGAAAATTTCAACAAAAGAGTGCATATGTGTCAGCAAAGCCATGGAGGCCATTTACTCGATATGCTATTCCATACATAACCCTATACTGTATACTTTATGAATCAATAAAACATTTATAATTTTTAATTATAAACCTGTGTTTTCTATCAAAATTACTTCTTGCGTGAATTTTGGGATATCCTTTACGAATGTTAATATTTTACAGAGAAATTCTCCCGTGCAAAATTGACATCTCACTGGTGCGTTCCCCTCTGAAGCGTTCTCTTTTTTTCCTCTTTGTGTCTATCAGAAATGTTTACCGTGTACATCGACATGAAAACATCTGGCGACATTCGGAGGCAACATCATCTCGTCGGTGTCGACAGGGACGCATCCCTCTTCGAAAATTTTCAGAAGATTCGTTCCCCCTCTTTCCCTGTCCCTCTCCATCAGGCTGTTTCACTTGCCCCCCACACTCACTTAAACACCGTGGGACCACACGGCGGTATACGTTTATACTTCGAAGACAGTTCTAAGTTTCGCGGCAGGACTGATACAGGCAGGTGCTGCGCCGATGTCCAGCGGGATCGCGGCCAGTCATTAATTAGTTCGCTTATCGGTGATCGTTCGCGCGAAGGTAGGAGGTGGCAAAAAGTATGCGCGTGGTAATCTCGGCACGGGCAGGAGGAGAACGCGGAGACGAGCTTGAATGTGGAAAGGCTTAATCACGTGGTACATATATATGTGCATGTGTACGTATGTACGTCGCTCTGTGATAGTCGGACATGTGCACTCCGTTTTAACGTAATAGAATATGCAGATTCGTCGTCCGACGAAGATACGCGGAAACGTTTTCGCTCGGCCACGATAAAACGCGATCGTAAATGTTGCCTCTGTAAGTCCTACGAGTCGCGCGCACTCGCGTCGACGACGACGTGTTTTCCAAAACGCGAGTGTACGATACACGACATTGGTAGCAGAAATACACGGACGCACATCACTGGTAATTGCCGCTATTATTTGCTCACAAAGTATGTATCTCACGTATTTGAATAAGAATATTTTTACATTTGTGCAATTAAGTAGCAATTAAGTGCAATTAAGTCTCATACAGTGATATCCCATGCGATACGATAGCGCTCATTATTGCTCGTAGTCAACATTCTGCTAAGCCGAAATTGATCGTACCGAAGTACGCCTCATTCATTCGTTCCTCGAGATATTGTTGTTATCATGAATATACTTATCGTAAATAAAATGCTTGTGTTATCGTAAATAATTATCGTAAATAAAACGATAGTGGCGCGCGGCGAGCTTGTAGAGAGACGTGAAAAATACTTTCGATTCAGAAAGATAGACTTATGAAGTATAGAAAGAATGACATATAATGCAAAGATAAATATCCTCCCGCGGGTAAATTATGCGCGATTGATTATGTTATTTGAAGAACCTGCTCGCGTTACAATAAACTTCTTGCTCAAGATGTTTCACTCAAAGCCATTTGAACGTGTTCATAGTTTCACTCAACGTGGAACATTCGTATGATATAAAAGAAATCCATCGAAATAACTCGGATTGAGATGAATGAATTCAATTTCTTCTTCGGCAAACTTTGCCGACAAAATATTTATATTTTTTAAACGTTTTTGGGTAAAACATATTTGAAGGTTAATTCAATGAGGCAAAATTCGATATCTTATCAATTTTACTTATTATACTGATTTATACGATAGTTAACATTCTACCAGAGATAAAATTTCTCATATTATGCAGTTCAATCTTTTAGCAATTGAGAGAACATTTCAAATACAATTTAGCAAGAATAGTAGCGTGTTAATAAATGGTATATTAATGACATATAATGAATTAAAAAAAAATAATCTAACTGTAAATTCAAATTCGCGTATCTCATATAAAGTAAGTTTCAAGTAACGATTATTATATTAATAATAAATACCTAAATTCTACGTCAGAATATTCATTCGATTTGATAGTTGTTTATTTTAATCGGATTATAGTTCATTTATCAAAATATATGCAGTTTTGGAATTTAGTTCTTTATACTTTATACTATTCTCAATCTTTTTTCCTCAGCGTATGTATAAATACAAACGCGTTATCGTGTATCCTTGCTATCCTTGCAAGATTAGCGAGAGCTAAATATACACGATTTTCGGCATTTTATATTTCGTTGTGCAGCGTTCTGTTGCCATCATGACGACTGTCGCGAGACATCGTTCTTGCAAGTTAAGAAATAAGATGAGAAAAGCGCGGAACTCTGGTACTCAGTTTCGCCACTTCGTTTATCTTTTATCCCCCGAAGGTAAAGCGGACGCGTAAACTATCTCGGAAGATTAACTCGGACCGCGTTCGGATCGCGGGAACTTTCTCGAGTCGAATCGCCTTGCGCGGGTAATGATCACGATATTAAGCCACGCTTCATTAATTTATTAACATTATCCGTTTGCTCGCGAGAAACACGCTCTCGCGCAGGAACAATACCTGCCGCGTAAATCGCGAAAATGGATAAACTTTGTAATGTCGCAGGACTTGGTCGCGTCGCGGTTCGAGCGAGATTCGAGGATGACGTCGTAAATGAAAGGAACGGACGCGCGATTGCACCGTTTACATACACACTGAATCGCCTAACATTACATTCTAAAATACGATGTGGATAGGATTTAAAACAAAAAATAATAACTTCGTGATAATGTAATTCTCGGGAGATATCGATTTGTTTTTGTGATTTTCATATTCACCAATAAAAATTCCACAAACACATTTACTTCTAATATGTAAACACAGATATATTTTAAAATCTAACATAACTTATCATATATATTTTTTTAATTACTACATATATATATATATATAATTTATTATATATCTATTTTTTCTTTCTTTTTAATCGTTTGTTTTAATCGTTAATTGTGATATGAAATAATTGACAACCATAACGGTTTTATGACACAATAAGATAAATTACGCCATTACTTTATGTTAGCTGCAATTGGAAGATTTCCTCATTCATTTTGTCCTCGTCCTAATTCTTTCTCAGTTTCTTTCGAATTTTTCGGCTCCTTTTCCGCCTGCCGCTGCTATTGAGAAATCAATAATCGCGTGTGGCATTGAAATTAACCATGCACTTGCGAGAGGTCAGCACATGGCTTATAGGACGAAATTTCTTGATATAAAATATTTTACGATTGCGCCTGCATCACAGCGTTAAATTGTTTCTTACGAAGGAGAGCGAAACTTCGCGAAAGGACAGAAAAAAATTGCAGTAGCGACTGTCTAGTGCAGGGAATAATTTTGTCGTTTTCTACCACATATATTCGCCATATGTAATATTTGTATACAATATACGCGCGTGTATTGAAATTTCCTGTGGCACCAAGAACATATTACAAACAGATCCCTCGCGTATCGACTACTATTTGCGAAAGTGTTTCGACGATAACCGCGATTTCACGGCGACGACGCAACGACGATGATTTCTGTACACAATGATCTTACGCTCTTGTTGCAAACGGAAAGAAAAAGAGAGGCTAGCCAGAGTTGTTAGACTACGACGTACATGGCAATTGTTTAATCAATGTGATCTTATCTGATCGTGTCATTGCGCGTGACGAATGCAACAGTCAGTGGTAGAAAAGTTGCAACATGTTCTCTCGGTGACTTCGGCAACTCATTCAACAGGGAGATTTGTTTTTCTATTTATCAATTTAAAAAAAAAAATTTTCTATTACGTGCCAGGTATTTGTGAGACTATTTGGAAGGGTTTCGGATTGGAATAATTACATTTTCCCAGGAAAACTCAATATAAATCTAGAAAATAATCGAACGATTCTGATCGAGAATCTTTCCGAATAGTTTCGTATTATCTGCTCAAATGTATCCTGAGTTTTATCGAGATAAAATTATCGCAATCTTTCTGTCACCGACCGAACGCCTCGGTCTCGTCGCGTTTCGCTCTTGTTCCCGGCAGGTTTGTACTTTATCTTTTTTGGGCCTCCTCCTCCTCCGTCTGGTAATTATTACGCTCTGATAATTTTATTTCTAACATGCTATAATCCTTTCGCTACCAACGACGCTCCGCACCTGCAACCCGTCGTTGTATGCATACGTTGTTTATGTACAACGGCGAAGGTGGCTAGGTAGCTTGGCGGAAAAGTCCTTTCTGAGGGGCAGTTCCTCTCTCCCATGGCACTTTTCATGGGGAAAAGCTTTTTCTAGCTTCGCAAGGGAAGCGAAAGGGGGAGGAACTGATCCCGTTTCTTTATGTAATGCTGGGCTCCGAGTCCGACATGCGACTACTGATGCATAATTTTTCATCTCGCGATAATCATGAGAAACTTGAAACATAAAGCGTCAGGGTAAACTTTCGATCGGGCTGTATTGCTCACGAACGAGCTGATTCGCGGCAAGGTAATATAAATTTTTAATTATTTCAGCTTACTGGACATAAAAGACGACAGCATGCGATTGTGTTGCTCGAGAAAGGACGAGGCCGACGAGCCGTCGGGACTCGAAAACGGTAATGGATATTATTATTAATAGATGTAATCGCAAAAGTTGGAAGTGGATGTAATGATTTTCGAATGCTCTAAGACAGTAATTTCGGACGAGGCGAGAAAACTTTTACATTCAATCCGGTTCTACATACATTTTTTTGTATCATATAACACATATATATCACATTTTATTATTTTACTTTATTTATTATTATTTTATTTATATAACAATGTTTAACATTATAAAGTTCAGAAGCTAGTAGAAGATAATTGTTTTATAAAATTTTTCTGAAGACTCAGTTCAAAATATTGCTTAAAGATTACAAGCTAAAATATTATTTTTCATTGAAGAATAGATATAACTAGAAATATATATCAACTTTGTTGAAAATATAACAATAAAGTTATATTAAATAACAATAAAGTTATATTAAATTGAAATATTATAATGTTAAAATTAATGTAGTGATTTGAAAAAGAGCTTTATATTATATTATAATAAATTAATGGAACATAGATCGGCGATTAATAAACATCACTTGCAGCTTTTCTTCTATATTATATAATTACTAATAAATTAATTATATAATTTCGACATGACATTAATTGATGTATCATTGGACTTTAAATTAGTGTGAAGAAAAGAATTCATTTCATCTACCTTCATGCAAATTTTCGTTAGTGTGATACAAAGAAACGTCTCCTTTATTTCGATATTTTTGGGATATTTATATTTAACACATGTACGAATGCACGACGTACTTAGTTGCGTAAGATAAACTAATGTACGAGATCCTATGTGCACAGTTAGCCGTTCGAAGAGAGAGGTTCAAGGTGGATTCATTCCTCCAGCCGGATTGTTCTTCCAGTTAGCGTTGTTTAAATATCACTGCTTAACGCGGCATTAAATCACTAAGTATACATTTGCAATGAACACCGGCTTGTTAAGTAGACGCTGTAGATCACGCTGTAATTGCGTGTAGACGTTCTACGCTACCTCGTTATTCAATATTACATAGTTCGCTATTTGCAAGTATTTTCTGTGTTTGAGTGTATCGTGTAATTACCTGCGTTATTGCGATAAAAGAAAGTACAAACCAGCCATAACAATATATCCTTCTTCCGACGTATATATATAAAACACGATTTCCCTTGTTACGATCTTATAACTTTTCCGCTTCTGAAACAAAATTATATTTTCTAATCAACGACGAATTATGCGCGAGGTCATCTCTCGTTTTCCTAGTACTCCGTTTCTTAATAAGCACAAATCAATCATATGAATATCCTCACAGAAAGTTTTCCTCAGTCTCATATTTTCGCATCTGTTTAATTATTTATCTTTCTAGGAACACAAATCTCAGTGGAGAATGATATAGACAAATTTGGACTCTATCAAATAACGATGTTCGCTTTAATTAGCCTGCCTTTGATGTTCACGGCAGGATTCACGCTTTCCTACGTATTTACTGCAGGCGAAGTTAAATACAGGTACATGAAAGAACATCGAACAAATCAGTAGGGTAAACTCGGGTAAGATCATATACGAAAAAGATGGCCATAGGCTGTAATTTCTCCAATAATTACTAAACAATGCGTTTTCTTGTAGTTATTCTCAAAGTCAATTGATATTTACTGTAGTTTATATGCATGCACTATTCAAAATAACAATATTGTGGATATTATATCATGGCTATCTTACCTGAGTTTATCCTATTTGAGAGATATTTTGAGAATAATCTATAATACAAAGAGTGAAAAATTAACCCTTTAACGTCCAAATGTGCTGAATTTTCATTTTGATTTCAGCCTCGTACTATTTGAAGAAAAAAGATATGGTAGACCAGAGTCGGGAAATCCATATCCTACTATTTTTGGGACCGTTCTTTCGAATGGTGTAGTCGAAGATCCCGAAAAATGACGTTTAACCCTTTGTTTTTTTCAAAGGTACTCAAAGAAATGCAATTTTCGTAGTACGATCTTTCTTTAAATTTAAATTTTCACTATGATACCGGTTTTTAGGCATTTTCTAAGGTATCAGAAACGTGTTCCCGATACTTTTACTTCAAAAATATGCATTGAATATTTTGATTTTAATCGTTTTGGAATTTAAAATGGCGTCTGAAAGCCAAAAATTCTTCGAAATTAAGAAAATACCTACGTTTTTGAATTTTTTAGATTTCTTCATAACATAATCGTATAAAATAAGTAATTCAAAGCTATGGATCACTTATTCTAGTTTATAGAAACAATATTAGCCCATATTATCAAATTTCAAGATGGCGGCTCCTATACGGTAAGTAGAAATGCGTTACATTTTGAGTTTTATTAGAGACTAGAGAGGTATAGAACTTGCTAATCGTCAATCTATATAGTATTGGACATCACTGAACTCAAATCCGGGGTCAGTTTTGCAAAATTCAAAATGGCGGATCTAATATGGTGGGCTTGATATTTGAGTAAAATTTGAGATTTTGGGAAAACAAAAAATACCATCATATTCTGCGCAGAATTTTAAATCAAAACTATTCTTAATGTTTTTTGATTACGTGCGGCTTTTTTGAGAAAACAATTCCCAAAGTACGAGTTTTGTCAAAATTATTTAAAATTGTTATTATGAACACGTCCTTTGCCTTTGAATATCCAAAGTTGCCCGATTCTCACCGCGAGGAGGTGGACGATCTTAAGAATTATTTGTATATATTTGTTACGTCCTGGAGGGGGAACGCAACTTGACGCTTGCTTTCACAAGCTCCGACGTACTCGCAAGTCTGCGGTGCAGATCAAGGATCGGAATGACCTCTTTATCTGGCGCGGACGTACGTCGGTAGTCCTTTATTTAGGTCAAGGAACTGAATCCTTTTACCTGGGATAGGACCGTGAGCGACAGTTGAGGGAAGGGAGAATTTTTTGTTGAGAATAATTAGTTGGAAAACGTGATTGGCTTACAATTATAAATAACTTGTTTTATTGATGATTAGACGGAAGTTCACAATGAAATAAAATTTGTAAGTTTTTATAATGTAAAGTGTGTTTTTATAATGTACGTATACATATATGTATAAACAATCGCGGTTTGAGCAAAATTCCGTGTTCGTTATGTCCGACTGTGATCGAAAAGATTGGGCCGTTGACACCGGATTTAACAATTAAGGAGGAATGCCAAGGGGGATAGAGAAAAAAAAGAAAAAGGAAAGGAAAAGAAAAAAGAGAGAAGAAAAGAAGAAAAATGAAAAGGGGTTACTCAGGTAAAAGAAAGTATAAATAACTTACTGCTGGATCTATGCTATTTGTCAGAAATGAAGAGTGTAATTGCTGCGTGTCGGTGAGGGCGGGTGACCTAAGTTTGCGCCAAGAATAGGAAGCTGGTTTCCGCTGGATTGCTCACGATGGTCCAAAAATGCACGAGATCGTTGCACAGAATAATTAACGACTGGAGAAACACTGATCTGTCTAAGCCACTAGTAGGCTGAATTGTTAGAAGACCTGAAGGGGTACTGAAGAGAAGTTTCTGTCACGGCTTCGGCGGAAGTGAGTTGGCCTTTTGGCTTTTCTCAAAACGTCAGCTCGGTTGAGAGAATGGAGTAATTGGGGGGGGGGGGGGAATGGGGTAATTTTTAGGGAATTGTTTCGGAAATCTAATTTTCATGCCCAAATATGATCATAGGACTATGCTTCGAATGTTTTTTAGAGGTGGGTTAAGAATACGTTGCAGTGTCTTTAAGATAACTTTGTAGGAGATAGAATGTATATGGCAATAAGAGGTTTTCGAGAATCTTTTGTTTAGAAAAACGTGGTAGCAATCTTAAGAAGGAAATATTGATATTTCTAAGAAGGATGTCGCGATACTGTTATCGTTGACTAAGCGCGTGGGAAATAAGATCGGAGTTGGTTCAAGATTGTTAATATTTCCAGAGCATCGAAACTTCCAGAGATCGCGTCGTGTGGTAACATGCTTGAGCGTATCCGGCCATATAATAAGTAATAATAAATTCAATTTTCCTTATTTATAAAAGAAGTCTAGAGTACGCGGAGTCCGCAGAACGTAACATATTCATTCATTTTCAAATTATGATTAGTAGTATGGAGAAACATATGTAGACATCATAATATCATATCATCATACATTTTTTTTCATGCGTGCTTTATATGAACTGTAGTTTGCAGAAACTTATCGAAGTCTAAGAGAAAAAATCTAAAGAGACGAGAATTTTAAATAATTTTGACAAAACTCGGACTTTGGGAATTGTTTTCTCAAAAAAGCCGCACGTAATCAAAAAACATTAAGAATAGTTTTGATTTAAAATTCTGCGCAGAATATGATGGTATTTTTTGTTTTCCCAAAATCTCAAATTTTACTCAAATATCAAGCCCACCATATTAGATCCGCCATTTTGAATTTTGCAAAACTGACCCCGGATTTGAGTTCAGTGATGTCCAACACTATATAGATTGACGATTAGCAAGTTCTACACCTCTCTGGTCTCTAATAAAACTCAAAATGTAACGCATTTCTACTTACCGTATAGGAGCCGCCATCTTGAAATTTGATAATATGGGCTAATATTGTTTCTATAAACTAGAATAAGTGATCCATAGCTTTGAATTACTTATTTTATACGATTATGTTATGAAGAAATCTAAAAAATTCAAAAACGTAGGTATTTTTTTAATTTCGAAGAATTTTTGGCTTTCAGACGTCATTTTGAATTCCAAAACGATCAAAATCAAAATATTTCAATGCATATTTTTGAAGTAAAAATATCGGGAACACGTTTCTGATACCTTAGAAAATGTCTAAAAACCGGTATCATAGTGAAAATTTAAATTTAAAGAAAGATCGTACTACGAAAATTGCATTTCTTTGAGTACCTTTGAAAAAAATAAAGGGTTAAACGTCATTTTTCGGGATCTTCGACTACACCATTCGAAAGAACGGTCCCAAATATAGTAGGATATGGATTTCCCAACTCTGGTCTACCATATCTTTTTTCTTCAAATAGTTCGAGGTTGAAATCAAAGTAAAAATTCAGCACATCTGGGCGTTAAAGGATTAAAGAGACAATTCACGGAGAAAATGGACTAGTTATTTTAGTAAATTTATAGTTTGTTGGGAAAATTTAATTTTTACAATTGAGCACATTCCATCGTATAGCAAAGAAATTAGTAAAAAATTTAAAAGAATGTAACATTTAAATAAATATTAAGGGTAAAACTTAAAGAAATTGTTAGTATTATCCTTATTGTAAAACAAACTTATTTTATTGAAGCGACTCTATTTCATTTGCTATAATGAAATCTGTTAATGTATCAAACTTTCCTTTGATCGTTCCCAGCAGAGAAATAATTGGTTAGGCCGACAAATATGTTTGATTAGAAATCCCAAAGGGTTATATTTTCAATAAATTATCTTTGTTATACTGATTCGCTATTTTTATATCAAACGTTTTATGAATTATAATCACTAATTTTACATAATTCCGAGACTTAATTGTAATACAGAAAAAGTATAGTTGTATAGAAAATATTACATAGCTTGCATTTTTTCATTTTGATATACATTATGAAAGGTAAAGTAATTTTTTTGAGTTATTCTTAAATTGCAACTAAAGAGTCCCAAAATTCACGCCAGATTTGAATTTTGCGCCATTTGTGTGGTAAAGTGTTGCCAATGAAAGAAAAAGACAGCGTGACAGCTGACAGTTCAGGGTTTTTAAAATGGAGTGCTACACGAAAGAACAACGCGTTTTCATTGTTGAGCAATATTTTAAAAATAATGAAAGTTTGGCAGCTACAGTTCGCAATTTCCGTACAAATATGGTTGGAATAGTGATTTAACTTCATCAACTGTGAATTAATTAAAAAATTTAGGGAGACTGGATCAATTAGTGATCTTAAACACTCTGGCCGTTCTTCAACAAGTTGTTCAACACAAAACATCGAAGCAGTTCGTGAGAGTGTTATTGAGAGTCCAGAAACATCAATTCGGCACCGTGGTCAAGAATTGGACATTCGGAGAAGCTCTCTACAGCGTATTCTCACGAAAGATTTGCATCTTCATGTTTACAAAGTTCAATTGACTAAAAAACTGAAGCCTAATGACCACGCACAGCGAAGAGAGTTCGTTGAATGGATTATGGGACAACAACAAGTAGATGCTGATTTTTCGAACAAAATCATCTTCAGCGATGAGGCTCATTTTCATCTTGATGGCTTGGTTAATCGACAAAATTGTCGCATTTAGGGTTCAAAAAATCCACGAGTGATTATTGAAAAACAAATGCATCCACAACATGTCACTGTTTGGTGCGGATTTTTGGCTGGAGGCATCATCGGACCATTATTCTTCGAAAATGCGGCTGGTCAGGCAATAACAGTTAATGGTGCTCGCTATCGCGATATGATAATCCAGTTTTTTGTGCCTAAATCGCAAGATATCGATGTGGACGACATGTGGTTTCAACAAGACGGTGCCACATGCCATGCAGCTC